ATGCTGGTCCTGGGCCCTTCCCCATGTGTCCAGGGCCAGAGTGTAACCCTTCACGTGGGATGGGCTCTCAAAGTCCCTTCTTGCACCAGGGAAAAATACTAATGGGACAGGAACCCATTTTAAGGATTCCCAAATGGCCCTAATGGGGTGCTGATGAGCAAGGCAAGATTTTTGTTTGTTTTGTTTAAAACGTTTGGATTTCCTAGATCCATGATGATTATTCTAGTCCATCTTTTCCAGGGGATTTTATCTTATTTCCTGGTCCAGAGTAGAAAGCAGACCCTGGGAGGCCACGAAAGGGAAGAATGTACTGGGGGAATGGGAGGGAAGGCAGCTTTACTGGTCCTTCCACCAAGAGCATACAGAAGGCTTGGGTGAATGCCCAGGCCGCTGGTACAGATGAGAAGCCAGGTATGACGTGATCAAAGCACTTGTTGTAGTTGAACATTGACAGGACTGTCCTACCTTTGAAGGGTAGGCTTCGGGCAATTTCTCCTGTCTGGTTGTTCTTGGGCTATTAGCCAGTGGAGGTCATTACAGCAACCCAGCAACCGGAGGAACAATGCCAGCCCCTCCCATGGAAGTAACTTGTGTGCATAGCTCAAGGTTCTAACTGCAAAACCCAGGGCCTCTAATTCAGAACACTATGGGCCTGAGGTCTGGGGCAGACTGCTCCTGGATGTTTGTGGGCCCCACTCTGTAAACCTTAGTTGAACAAGAAGAAAAATGAGGCAGTGGGAGGGGATTTAACTAGAGCCCAGGAGCTGGTAAGGGAATCAGTTTGGGGCCCATAAGGAGGTGTCCCTTTGTTCACATTGCCAGCTCCTAAGCTATCTCACAGGAATTCTCCTCTACTCCTAATGCAGACCTTGCTTTGGGGTCTGGCACCTATCCCTAACTCCATGCTTTCTCATTGCTTGTTTCCAGGAAAGGCTGGGAGGCACAGACACTCCCACCCCTTCTGTGTATAGCAGTCATATGAGATTGGCCAGTGCCTGCGTTTAAATTAAGCTCAGTACCTTGGTGTGTAAAAGCAGGGTAGAGCCTACTGTCACTCTATTTTTTTCCCACCACTCCTGTTTTAGATCTAGAAATGAAAACCCTGGGAAGTGACATGAGTTTCCCACGCTTACATAGGTAGTTGGTGACATGAAAGGGACAAAATATGGCATCTATTGCCCATTTGTGCACCCCATAAACATGTTGTGATCTTAAAAGCGGTGGACGCTACTGGAGATGAGCACGAGGCTCTCTTCTCCAGATGTGCACAGTTTGTGGAGAGGCGACTAGCAAACCCTCTACCATGATGCGTGGTGAGTCATTCCCATTAGCAGGAAACTCACTTCCTCCAGTGGGTTTTAGGAAGACCCTCCAGGCATCCAGGGAAGGAGCTGTGGATGAGCTGTCTTATTCCTGGCTTGCAAGCTCTGTACCCAGGCAGTGGTCTAGATGTGGCTGAGTCAGGCCAGTGCATCAAGCATTCACTATTCTGGTGGACGCCTTTCATTCATTTTTCTTTTTCTGTGCTAAGACACTATGACCAAGGCAACTTACAGAAGAAAGAGTGTATTAGCGACTTAGAGTTTCAGGAGATTAAGTCCCTGACCATCATGGCAGGGAGCATTCTTTGCAGCAGGCAGGCAGGCCTGGAGTTGGAGCAGGAGCTGAGAGCTCACATGTAGGAGATTATAGAGAGGGGCAGAGAGATAAAGAGAGCTGGGAATGGTGTGAGCTTTTGACACCTCAAAGCCCACTCCTACTGGCACACCTCCTAATCCTTCCCAAACAGTTCCACCAACTGGGGACCAAGCATTCAAATATATGAGGCTATAGGGGCCATTTTCATTTAAATGACCACATGACCACACTTATCTTCCTAAAAACATCAGAGACTGGATCACAGTGGCAAAGCAAGTGGTCAGCACACACAGTACTCTTGATCTTTATCCCAACACCAACAGACTCTCTCTCTCTCTCTCTCTCTCTCTCTATATATATATATATATATATATATATTGCTCTCTCTCTCTCCTTCTCCCTTTCCCTTTCTTACACACACTTAAGCATTTGCATATACACACTAACACATATGTACAATCTCACATAATACATACATTCATCACACACATTTACAGTCACACACACAAAGACACAGTCGCATATATGTACAATATACACATTCATACACACTCTCACGTATACGTGTCATATACACACTCAATTCGACATACTTATAGTCATATGCACACTCACACAACAACATACACACACACATTTTCACACCCATACATCCACACACTCAGATACACATACAGGCACACACTTACACACAAGTGTCTCACTCTAGCTAAAGGCTCAATGTCAGAGAGAGACTAAATCAAGTGATTTTTCCATCCCTGCATCAATATACCAGACTCCCTGAGATGGATGGTGATGCAGTGTTTCCTATTGCCTCACTGTCTGGAACCACACTTCTTATTAAGCTCTCGTCCACTCATTTCCGTGCAGAAGCTGATGGGTGATTTGTGTTTTGTTTGTTTTAACCCCTGAAATCTTTCAAAGATTCAGCAGAGTCTGGCAGCTATTGCCACTCTTTTCAAAAGCGCAGGACTTCAGTTAGACAAATGCTCAGTCAAGAGAACTGATCTTATCCAGCCCAAGATACCACATGGGAACAAAACGTGCTGAAGCAGGTGTTTGGCACTGACAGGATGAAATTCTTGTTATGCTTATGATCTGCCTTGTTTTGCTCTACCATGACCTGCCTGGAACACACATCTGCACTAATGGAATAAAACTAGCAGCTTTTTCACAGATTTGTAGTTAGGACTGATTAAAAACTTAAATGATGGACAATACTGTGGCTGGCATACAGCACGATTAAATATTTCCAGAGTCCACATCTGTTTAATGAGAACCTCTCCAGGACCTGCCTCCCCAGTGTCTCACTTTGAAGACAAGGAAGGCTCTTCCTCCCTGAAGGCACCCAAGTACACTATTCCCCGGGTCCCTCCCTTTCTGCTCTTTCCTCTTCTGCCCTCCCCACGGCCAACGGCTCCTTACTAGCTCTGGTCTGGGGACTGTGAGGTGCAAAGGATTTCCTCACATACATGATTAAAAGGGCATGGTACCGATGAAAGCAAGAGCAAGGAGGGCAGGTGAGGGGTGCTAGCACAGACTGGAGGGGACTCCATGCAAGGGAAGAGTCAGAAAGAGCAGATTATAGTCGACAGTCTCGATGGTCAGTGTGTGGACCTGGGTGGAAGGGAAGCTCTTCAGGCATAGGAATAAGGGCTTTCTGAGGGGCAGTCTTTGCAATGGGGTGTGCATGGCCAGTGTGGTTTTAATGATCAGGAAGGGGTAATGTGTCCTGGAGGACTCTCATGATCCTCTGCTCCTTCCTGTTTCCTTCACTTACTAGGAGTTAAAGCCAGAGATGTGAAGGGACTCTTGCCCCTGATGGCACTAATGGTGGTGGTTTTCTTGCTGCTCCTCTTCTGGGAGAATGAACTGAATGAGGATATCATGGCGACATCCTTGGAGCATTTTCACGTGGACTATCCTCAGAATACTGTCCCTCTGAGATACTGCAACTTCATGATACAGCAGAGGGCCATCAGGGAACCCGACTACACATGCAAAAAGCTGCACGTCTTCATCCATGAGCGGCCTCAGAAAATCAACAGAATTTGTGCTTCTCCCAAGAAGGCGACTTGCACAAACCATACCGACATTTTCTGCTTCCAGAGCGAGACAAGATTCAAATTGACAGTCTGTCAGCTCACTGATGGCACCAGATACCCTGCTTGCAGGTACCAAGTCTCCCCTATAGAGGGGTTCATTCTTGTCACTTGTGATGACCTAGGACCTGTTAATTTTCAGGGATATGTTGAATAACTCACCAGCAGCACAGAGGCTGTGAACTGTGGAGACGGTGTGGTGTAACGCTGTGAGTGGATTGGGGGTGGGGTGATCTATCCTTCCACTGTGGCCGAGGGGCAACCACTGATTCTGTGTCAATAAAAACATCTTTGCTGAATTAAACCACAAACTCCACACATGTTTTAAGTTTCTGTTTCTTGTCTTTCTTTGAGTCATTTGATGAGAATTGACAGGGATCCAAGGTAGGACTGGGAATTGAGACTCCAGAGTGAGTGAGAGTCACTTAGTGTAACACTCAAGGGGGCCACCAACCAAACACCAAACAACCAAAACCCAGTTATTGATCTACATAAACACCAGTAAGTCAATATTCTGAAAAATCAAAATTCTTTTTGTGTGAAATATCTTTATCTCAAAGATCTAGTACAGCAGGACAGGACAAGGAAGATGATGTGAGTTTATCAGCAGAGAATCAGATCATGTTGTTTAAAATTTTCAGTTCTGTACAGGAAAGATTATATGGCATGAATTATTTGAATTGTATTTTTATTTATTCTTTAAGAATTTCATATTAGGTATCTTTGTTTGTTTAAGGCAGGGTCTTATTCTGTAGCCCTGAAAGGCCTGGAATTCACTATGTAGATCAGTCTGGTCTCAGACTCACTGAAATCTGCTCACCTCTGCCTCCCAAGGGTTGGAATTAAAGGCCAATGTCACAATGTCTGGCTCATACAATATATTCTGTTCATATTCATTCCCTTCCTCCAACTCTTCCTAGTTCCTTCCAAAGTTCCTCCCCAGTGCCCTAATTGGTTATCTAATACAAAGTGGTCAGCCTTGAAACTATATAGAACACACACACACACACACACACACACACACACACACACACACACACACCAGTAATAACAAAGGAAAAAGAGCCTATCAATTTGAGAATGAAGGAACATTGGTGGGTTGGAGGGAGGGGACAAGGGAGGGGCTGGAGGAAAGGGAAGAAGAAGAAAGGTGACATAATTCTGTTTTAATTAAAAATGAATTCAAAATATCAGCTTCATGTTCTTTCTCTGTCTTTAAAAAAAAAAAAAAACAAACCATGGAGTCCAGTTTGGGCCAGAAAACTACTCCTAAGCATGAGGCCTGCTGTGAGGTATGGCTGTTATACCCACTGTCAGTAAAGAAAACTGATTTTTCCTCTTCCAGCAGATGTCAATTAATAGATTTTTGCCTGGGGGTGTGGCTGTGTCTCCACTTCTTCTTAAATGTACTTATTTGTTTTATTTTTGTGTGTATGTGTCACATTTATGCATTGCCCTTAGAGGTGAAAGGGTCATCTAACTGCCTGATGTTGGAGTTACAGTTGATTGTGAGACTCTCTGTAAATTCTGGGAACCGAACTTTGGTCTCTCCAAGAGGAGAAAATGCTATTAGCCTCCAAGCCATCTCTCCAGCCCTCAATCTGTTTTTTTTAAAGAAAAAGCAATTGGGGTCACCTCTTAGGGACTTTTCTCCTGTATTACATGTTTTTTAAATTCCTTGTTTGAGAATCTCATACATATATACATTGTGTTTTGATCACATCCACCCAAATCTCTCTCTTCCAACTCCTCTCATACCCCCTAAATTTCTACCCACAACTTTGTGCATTCTTTTCTTTTTCAACCCACAGCCTACTGTCTTGTGTACCACAAAGTTTAATCAGTCCATCGGTGTCACCCTGAGTTTGGAACTAACCATCCCAGCATGAACCTGTGGGCTCCCAAGGTCAGCAGTGTGTGGTGTGGCCCATGAGGACTTTTCCCCTCCGTAGTTGACTGTTAGGAGGGCCTGACTTTGGTGCACCCAGTACCAGAATGCCAAGCTGCTATGAGCCCATGACTGCCATAGCCAAGTTGTGCATAGAGGATGGTATTTTGCAACGCTCTTCCCATCCTATAGCTCTTATACTCTTTCTGTCCCCCTTTCCATAGTGTTGTGCGAACCCTAAGGGGTGATATAAATGTCTCACCTAGGGATGAGCATTCTTTACTCCCAGCATCTTGTTCAGCCATGAGTATTTGCATTTATCTTTGTTCACTTCAAGGAGTGAACAAAGCCTCTGTTTAAGGATGAGAGTAGCCTTTGTCTGTAGATACAAACACAGGTATTTAGAGGGTGGTTTGATGCTATGTCAGTTCAGCTAAGCAGCCAGATTAGTTTCCCCTCCAGGACCTAAGACCTTTTCAGTTATGATTTACAGTATTAGGCAAGCCGAAAATTAGGAAGCAGTGTGTTACCTCCATAATAGTTATGCTATTATTGCACCAATAGGCATATCTTACATGGTAGGTTGGTGTTACAGTTCACATCTGTGTTAACTCATCAATACCTTTAATCCACAGTACTCTGAATAGTACTATCTGGCACATTGAGAACCAGCCAACAGGGAAGAATCTTCCAATCAGTTCCAGTTTAATTTCTCTGCAACTTTCATCCCAAGTATGTGTTGTCTACAACAATAGGGTGGGCAACCAAGAGAAATAAATGACAGGAGCCTATTGTGTGTGTGTGTATGTGTGTGTGTGTGTGTGTGTGTTGGGGGAATTATGGAGTCTTAAAGACTTTTCTAAAGATAGAGTATATGGTTTATATTGTGTCTGTTCCTGTTCATCAGGCCCCCAGGTTGTGTGTGTGTGTGTGTGTGTAGAGAGAGAGAGAGAGAGAGAGAGAGAGAGAGAGAGAGAGATTGAAAGGCACCTGATTGGTCAGAAACCATTTCCCACAAAGACTGTGGAGAGACGCAGATACCGAAATCCCAAGGAAGGACTGAGCCTCTCTGAGCTAATGTTTTTCCTTTTCAAATTCTGGAGGAAACAGAGAAGGCTTTGTACTAGACTGCCAACTACTTCCCCTGTTGGATTTTGCTTTTGAATTCAATATGCTGGCACTCATGTTCAAGTATGGACTTGGTAAACTTACAGCCAGAGAGAAAAGGAAGACAAATAGAGCCACCTAATTCTGGAAATTTTTTTATCAAATCTTCATCATTAGCTTTCCGTCATTAGTCTTCCATTTGCTAGTTTTTCCATCTATAAAGCTAGGTAAACTTTGTGGTTGTTTCCAAGTCTATTGTCGTACAATTCTGTTTCTTAGGTAATGCAGAAATCAGCTTTGCTTGAGGGAAGGCTTGGGGTTGGAAAACAGTAAGAAATATGGGTAATGGACAAGTAGGGGCCAGTTTACGGGGTCATTAATTCCAAGCGCTGTAGTTCCAGTTGTGTGAATGAGAAGCAGGACTCAGACAAGTGAGTGGGCCAGAGGGTAGTGAATGATTCCCAAACTCTAAGAGTTTGTTCTGTCCTGATCTTCTCAGTTGAGAGACTTTAGCTGTTGCCTCAGCCATCTGTACTTAACTCAAGGTCATATCAGAAGAAGGGGTGTATCTCTGTGGGCTGCTAATTCTGTCTTCTCAAGACATTAAATCATAACCGACTAGGTCAGTTGATGGGGAGCAGAGGTGACCATCCCAAATGAAGCCCACGCTGCAGCTTGGAAGTCAGAACCTGTCTCATGGTTTCTTCCACACAGGGCAGCCCTTCTCCAGATGAACACTATTTCCTATTTCTCTGTTGGAATCCCATCATCTGTGTTCCTTGGGAAGTTTTGAATGTTACCAAGTGAGTAGAGCTCTCAAGTCACACAAAGGTAGCATCACTGACTCGGACCAAGTGGCCCTTGCTGTGGTTTTCTTGCCCCATCCCCAGGCTTTAGTGCCCTTCCTTTTTGTTCTCATTGCTTTTTCTTCCCTTCCTCCCTCTGGTTTCTCTGTCCTACTTAAAAGCAAAATTTGAAGATAGATGAATTCCCTTTAAGATACAAGGGAGAGCATCTATCCATAGGACTCCATCTCATAACATTTTCATTTAATAGAGATCAAAGCCCACTTCATATGAATTATGACGTTTTAAATTGTAAGCACCTGTGCTTACTTACTGGGCCAAGGTCACCTGATATGGCCGCAAGGAATGACATCAAGCCAGGTTGGAGGGACCACAGCACAACTGAGGCTGTGATAATTTTATGGAGAGCGATCCAACTTTTTATACCTTTATCAGAAACAAGATATAACGGCAATGTCCGGGATCACTACTGTTGTAGTGAAGTTTGCAAGTCATGCAGGGTACACAAGATTAATAATGTCCAAGACCAACTGTCCTGCCAAGCCTGCATGCTTCCTTGACTTCTAAGGGAACATACAGAGAGGCACAAAGCAGCCTGAATACTTGACTGCCTGGGGGCTTCATCAGTCTCTCAGGAACTGGAAGGCACATTGTGCCCAGAAGCCATGGACTCTAACCTGAAAGACCCATGACACAGGCCTCTCAAGGCAGCTAGGCTAAGCCAATTCCATGATTCCCTCCATGAGATATTTTCCTTTGTGCGTGCACACACACACTTTAAATGAATGTCTAATAATTTGAAACCACGCACAGGCAGCTGTGAATTCTGCTCATGGGAAATACGTGTATCACAAGTACAGGATCTCTGTACTGTTCTTTCTCATGACCTTTCTATTTTCCTAGTATCACCTCATTAAGAAATAAAGGCCAATAGTAAAGGATTTAGAAGTTCCAGAAAAAAAAGTTATTGACAAATTCTTCCTCCTTCCAAAATCTACCAAGTGTATGCCCAGAGATCACAGTTTCGAGGAGCATGTAGACTAAGTTCTTAATAATCTGTCAGTGGTCCTTCGTTACAGTAGATGCCTGTCATTTTGGCATTCTGGAGGCTGAGGCAGGAGGATCCATTAGGAACTTGAGACTGGCGTGGGTTATTCAGCAAGTTCCAGGCCATCCTGTTTTAAATAGTGAGACCCTGTCTTTAAAGACAAATGAGGGCCTGGAATGTGACTCAGGGGTTAAGAGAATGTACTGACTGCTTTTTCAGAGGAGCAGAGTTCAGTTCCCGACACCCATGTCAGACTGCTTACAATCCCCTGTAACTCTAGCTCCAGGAAATCCAATGCTCTCTTCTGGCCTCCAGAAAAGTACCTGCATTCACATGCCCACAATTATGCACACATAGAGAATTAAAAGCAGTAAAAATAAATATTTTTAAAAGTGAGTTATCAGATTCACAGAAATGAGAAATGGATTTTGGGCTGGTGGTGGTGGCGCATGCCTTTAATCCCAGCACTCGGGAGGCAGAGGCAAGCGAATCTCTGTGAGTTTGACGCCAGCCTGGTCTACAGAGAGAGTGTTCCAGGGCAGGCTCCAAAGCTACACAGAGAAACCCTGACTTGAAAAACCAAGCCAAACAAACAACAACAACAAATCCACAATAAAACAAAGCAAAACAAAACAAAAAAGATAGAAATGGATTTGGAAGACTTAAGTGATAAGAAAGAATGCAATCTGGATTTGGCTCTGGGGCCTTTCAAGAAGCAGAAAAGGAAGGAACAAAGAGGGAGCTATGGCTCAGCGGTGAAGGGCACTTGCTGCTCTTTCAGGGGACCTGGGTTTGATTCTTAACCCTCACATCAAATGGCTCATAGCCAAGTGTAACTCCATCACAAAGAATCTGACTCCCTCTTCTGGCCTCTGCGGTACCCATACACACATGACATATATATACACACACACACCCATACATGGAAAATAAAATCTGAAAAAAAAGGGGGGGGGGAGAGGTGAAGGCTTCTGGTGTATTTAGATGTATAAGAGATGGTCACCCCATTGATTAGGGCAGGGTTGTTTAGCAAAATAACAAGAGAAGCCTCCCAGCCTTGACTGGGATGAGAGCAAGCAGAGGCTTGGTTTGTGGGCTTTAGTGGTTAGGCTATCCCTGGTCCAGGAGCCGAGGAGAGGCATATCAAGAGGCCGGAGACAGTGTGTTTTATAGAATTGGGGCGGGGGACAGCACAGAATGGTAATTACAAAGGAACTAAGATGACAATTCGGAAGACACATGGGTAAGAGGAACTTTTAAAGGGAAAGAAGGAAAATAAACACCATTGTAGCATGAGAGGAAGAGCTGTCGACATAAATAACCATCCTTTAGGGACTCTCACTATGAAACGCGAAGCCCTGGCGCTACCACAGGGCTTTCACACTGACTAGCTGTGCCATGCCTTTGACAAACGCTGCTGAGGAAGTAGTGTTTGTGTAGGCCCGAGTCAGAAAGCTTGTTTTAGGATCAGGGAGTTGTTAGCCTCAGAACAGTGTTCCTCACATGTGCCACCTAACTACAGAGCGCGAGGTCAGATACAATGAGACACAAGGCAAGGTGTACAGTGGGCTTTCCAAAAAGAAAACCATCAAACACTCTGGATTTGAGGAAACCGCGAGGAAGAGTTTGCAGAAGGGGAAGCAAAGTGCTCCCTGGTCCCTGATTCCGACGGCCACTTGCACATTCTGTCCGGTTCCCCCTGAATGTCCCTGGCTCCTTGCTTCCTCATCAAACCCACACACAACCCTCTACCCCTTTCTTGCTCCTCCTTCCCTCGGATAGACCCAATAGCTGAAACTCTGAGTGTGAGACACAGTTTCACTTCCAGCTTGGCAAGAAGCTGGAATCTTTCTCCGCAAGATCAACTTGTCAAAGGAACTGGTAAAGACAGAGATTTCCTGACCGGGAATGGGTGGGGAAACAACTGGGAGATGGGGAAAGGTTACTGTCTGTGCGAGCTCCGTTTGTTTACAAGGCTATCATGTGCCAGGTCCTGTGTGGGCAGTTAGAGACAGACAGTAATAGTGAGAAATGTGTTGGGTGAGATGACTTGGACCTACACGCGATTGTAAACCCCTCCTAAAATCAGATAAAAGAAAAATACTTGGTTCCAACACTGTAGATTTAGGTCATGTTTTGTTTTTCTTCAGATGGGTAAACTTGTGTTAAATGAGATAGAGTAAATTGGTTGTAACTGGAGATGTTAGCATGGATTCTCAGGCTCTTCAGCTGATTGTCATATTTCATTAATATACATGGGAGTCTAATATCTAAGGGGTCGTTGCTGAGAATACTGCCATAATGAAAAGGAAACCATCTCTGTTCTCCTTCTCTTTATCTTTTCTGCAGACAAGATTACAGTGTATATGAGATGGCGGTCTTTGTGCTGTTGCTTGGCCTCGGGTCTGTTCTTGTAGTGCCTTCAGAAGGCACAACAACGAGAATCAGAGAAAAACTTTCACAGGAAGAGATGCAACATGCTGCAAAACAGACTGTTGAGCCATCAATGAACTCAACCCTGTCAGATAAAAATATCAGCCTTGGTGTACCCAAGAATGTGATGTCTGCCTCACCCCCAACATCCAGAAGGTTATATTTTGTCACCCCCAAGGGAAACCCTTTAAGTAATGAACAAAACTGTCTAAACGGACCGAGAGTCTGGAGAAAAGTTTTAGACATGAATGAGTCATGCCAGTTGGTCAATAACTTTATACATGGGTCCACCGATGTGATTCATGGAGTTCCCGAGGCCACCAGCTGGAAATGGGGACAATCACCTAGCCTAAGCTGCTGTGAGAGCCTACGACTGGAGCATACCATGTGCAAGGTCACTGCGGGCCAGCAGTGCCCCAGGTGCCAGAAGCACAGTGTCACCTCCCTGAAGAGAGCCTTGACAGTGCTGACAAGCCATTCTCTGATGAGTTGGTTAGTTAGTGGCTCTAAACTGTAAATCAGGATTGAGGATAAAGAAGGACAAGGTCAGGTCATGATCATCGTTGCTTGCATCCTTCTGCTATCCATGTCTATCCCCTGGTATGTGGTAAACACTGTTGGTACTAAACTGGATAAATGGGAAAAAATAGCCCAATACAGCATAAGTCAATTAAAAACTGTAACTGATCCTAGAATACAGATTCATATTCTCACTCTCTCTCTCCCACAAACTGAATTCCTTCCTAGTTTAGTTATAAAGCTCCCCAAGGCTGAGTCTACACGAGTGGACAAAGGTAAGGAGAGAAACTCCACACCAGAGAGTGAATGAGGGTGAGACACGTACTCAGCGCTGCTCTTCAAAGACATGTGAGCACACATGTGCACCTGAGTGCAGCAGCCTCCCACCAGCCTGTCCTCCAGAGTCTCAGTGTCACAGTCCAGCACTGTACAGTCTGCAGTCCTCCACCAGAACACCTGTCTCAGAGTCACAGTCCAGCACTGTACAGTCTGCAGTCCTCCACCAGAACACCTGTCTCAGAGTCACAGTCCAGCACTGTACAGTCTGCAGTCCTCCACCAGAACACCTGTCTCAGAGTCACAGTCCAGCACTGTACAGTCTGCAGTCCTCCACCAGAACACCTGTCTCAGGGTGGCTGCAGAGAGACGAAACAGAGCTCTACTCACAGCCCAGCAAAGTCTTGCTGCTCCGGAGCTGTGCCTGCGGATTGGCAAACTATGGGAAACACAGCAATGGGAATATGATGTTTATGCCAAGCTTCAAGCAGGGTTGTCTTCAGTCTTGATGCTTTCTCTGCCAATTTTAACTCCCCAGAGTCAACAGGGCATGAAGCACAGACAGTTATTGTTGCTCATTGTGCAAATGTGTGCTCCTGTTGGCCGTCTTTCCTTCATCCTGAGCCCACTCTTTTTTTTTTTAATGCTTAATTTCAAATAAATTCGTGCAAACGAATGCCACATTGTTATGTTTTTCTTGTACCACGTGGTTCATTATATCTTGATATTCCCCATGTTTTTACATTGATGCAGACTTCTTGGTCTATTGAAACTACAAGATGCTGACAGTCTACCAATATAGATCACTAGGAAAGCATTTGACATTTGGGGGCTTTTTAACTGGATTCTCTTCATCTGCATGGTGGCTGCTTAAACCCTGCTCACATCCACTGTTAGTGTGGGTAGCAGATGTACAATCAGAGTTCAGTTTGTACTCAGCAGTACAAGGGGAGTGATTTAGGGAAATGCCTGGGTCCTGAATGATAACTGAGGATACAGGTGGATGATGTACTCAGTGAGTCCATCCTAGGGTCACACTCACGAGTCAGGTTTGATCACCAAAATGAAGCGTGGGGTCTCCAGCAGAAAAACAGCCCAAATGGACTCTTCTAGGCTTATTTCAGCTCATATATTAGCAACCTCTTTTCTGCACCATTCATTTATAGTGTAGGGGGCCAGTCAGCCCCAGTAATAACTTGTTTTTATTCTGTCTTATTTTGTTCTATGATGTGCAATAACCAACCCTTCTCAGTACATATTGCTTCTCTCCAGGAAAGAAAATCAAAGACCCAGGACAGCAGCTCTTTCTCAGGCTAGGGCCATCTTCCAGAGAGTTGTAACCAAGAACACATCATCCACATCTCCAAAGGAAGCAGGAACTCTGGCTTCTAGTTGGTTATTGGGATCTTCCAGAATCTATCACCTCATCCTCATACTGATGTCTGGAAGACATGGAAGTGCCACATAGTAACAGTGTTTCTGACTCCAAAGTCCATCCCCTCTTTAATGCATATGTGTGGCAAGATTCCTTGCATGGCATGGAGCAGGGGATTTGAGGCTTTCAAATACTAGGTTCTCATCACGTCCCATTTCTGTTCACCAAACCTGCAAGGGCTCCTTTGGTTTTGCTTTGTGGATTTGTATCTAAGTTGATCAGTCTGGTTTTCAGAGCCCCAGAGTTCCCCTTTGCCTTTCCCAGTCTTTCTTCCATACCTGCCTGCATCTGTCTTCAATGGCCATTGCCTCTTTCCTACAGAAAGAAGGCTTGCCTCCAGGTCTTGTTTTCCCTTTCCTTACTTATCATGGTAACTCTTCAGCACAGGAGCCACACCTGGTAAGAGGCAGTCCAAGTGTCCCTGATACTTGCTAGGGAAGTAACTGAAAAGTAACTATGTAACCCAAAGGAAAAGTGAGGCACAGATCCGACTATGAAGCAACCACGGAGGTACCCAGATAGCAAAGAAGGGGTTCAATGTCCTTATCTGCATGAGATCTGGCTCTGGGAATTCATGAGGATCATTGTGGGGGAGTTTCAGGTCACCCAAGCCAGCCCTCCTCACTGCCAGCAAGGAAGCCCACTTCCTCTCTCAGGCTTTCTGAGCAGAAGTGATGTGGGCTGGGCCTGAGTTCAGGTTTCATCACAATGTACTGATCACCTGGTCACTACTTCTCAATAACTACATCCTCAACTGGACTATGTCTTTCCTTAAGTATTTTATATAATAACAGTAACAATGGCCCAGGAATGAGTTGAAGTCAGAGGAAACCGTGCCCCTAACAGCTGTGCTATGCAGCTGTTCTGCCAATCTGCTGTTGACAGGTTGTTAAATGAGAGGAGAAAAGGTGTGTTTTAAAGCCCTATTCTTGGATATTTTGTCCCATGAGTTTGGCCTTTACATAACAAACCTCCTAATTATGGGAACTGTTGTTAAGCACAAGCCCCTGAGCTGCAGGTCGAGGATGAACCTTGAGTTCTAGAGGCAAAGGGCGCGACTGAGCACCTGGTCCATCTGCAAAGGACCCAAAGTTTCACTCCCACTCAACCAGACAGATCAAAAGGCTTTCTTCTTAAGTCTAGTTTCAGTGATCAGGGAAAGGTTGCTGCTTATGTGCCTTTGAGGCAAAGTAATCTAGTGTCACGTAGCGTGTCTTCCTCCTTGCCAGTCTCCCAGGGCAGCCGGTCAGCCTTTTAATCCTGAAAGCCCCTTGACAGCGAACCTATCTGAAATCGAACACAGGGCACTGTAACAGTCACTCATTTCTAAAAAAAAAAAAAGTGAGTGAGAAGTTCAAAGAGAGACTGACATCTGAAATCCATCCTTACTTCTTCCCAAGGGTTGGGCTGGCAGAGTTGGGATAAGATGACTCGAACATCTCTCATCCTTCATGCTTGTGAAGCCTGCTAAGGTTTGCCAGAGTCACAACAATGACAGTCACAAGGTTGTTCATGGCAAAGGCAATTGTCACAACAAATCAGAGTTCTTAGGCATGTCAGAAAGATCTACAAAGTCTCTTTTAAATCTCAGAACAGTCCACACAGAGTGGATGCCATTACCTACAGACTGCAGGCAGTGTTCAAAGTCTTGTGTTTAACAGTCCCCTGCAGGAGCAAACAAAGAAGTTTCATTTTGTATATCACATCTCTAGCCTATCACCTGTATTTGACAGAAGAAAAAACGCACTTGTCCATAACTGTAAGGAAAGATAATTCTGACTGTCCTTGAATAAAATATACCTTACCATTTTTTTGATGATGAAATGGTGACTGTCATCATTATATTCTTATACAATTAGATGGTTACACTATACTAAGTAAACAATTGAAAACAATTTCCCATAAATAATTGTTAAGTGTTTACCATATATCTTTAACCTATAAAGTGGTCTGTCAGTTTCATGAGAAAGATAAACATTCTCACAGGAAAATAATCAAAAGATTATTATCTGAAAATTAGCCAAGGAAGAAATAATCATTAAACACTTGAAAACATTTTTCTCACTAAATGGAAAAATGGTGTGGGGTCATTTTTAAAATATTTAGGTAAAAGTCTCTCTCTGTGTGTGTTTCTGTGTGTCTATTTGAGTGCAGGTCCCCCACAGCAGCATTAGATTCTCTGAGGCTGGAGTTACAGATGCTGGGAACCAAATTCTGGTCCTCTTCAAGAGCAGTATTGCTACCAAGCATACATTCAGGGTATCAGTTTTGTGTAGCAAGCACTTTTACCCACAGAGCCATCTAATGGCCATGGTAGAATTGATTTCAGACTCCTGTCCTCTGGAACTGTCAGAAAACCAATGTGTGTTGTTTTAAGACACCACGTCTATGAAAGCCTGTTACAGCAGCCATAGAAACCAATACAAGGGTCACGAGAAAGAATTTAAAGTTTTTTGGGTAAATATATGAAAATAAGTAATGTTTGAACATTAATCTTATAGACACATTGGGTTCAAAGAAGCAGATAAAGATAGATGGCAGGTCTGAGCCACATGTATAATCTGGACAAGACAATGAAGATAGATGGTAGAATAATTGGACAGAATTCATATGGAGACATTTAAAGGAAACATATATGCAATTTTCTGACTGGTCATCTTGCTTATGTAGCTTCCTCCCCCACAAAGTCAGCTTTTAACTTCTATGATTTTTTTTTCCAGTATGTACTTCTTAGAAGGAAGTCACCTCAGCTTATGTAGAGTTATGGTCTAGCTACTTGAAGGAATAATTATTGACCGTTTATTTATTCAAGCATTTGTTTGTACCAGTGTGGACTCATGGATATTTATAATCTGATTTGGGTTATAATAAAATGTTCATGTAAACATATTTCGTGGTTTCAGCTTCAGCTTTTAGGAATTCTTTCACTCAAACCCATTTACTTCTTATTATGGCTTTCTCTACCCTCTTTTCCACGAGGTTACTCAGACATCTATAAAGTAAGGGCCAATTTGTAAACTTTGTAGATGGTCGGGTTCATTCTGCTGAGTTCTGACACATGGATATTACATGTGCACGCCACTGAGAGAATGTATTTCATCTAGTCACCCTAGGTCCTGCTGTCCAGGTCCTGTCGATGGCCAGCCTCTCTTCTGTTGATGTGTCTTTGACTTATCCACAATGGAAATGGCATTATCCAGTCACTACCCTTCTTAGACTGGCTTCTTCATTTGGCTACTGAACTTAATAGTCATTAATTGACTGGCTAGCGTGCCACTTTTAACAGTGAAATAGCACCTACCGAAGCACTAAGCACTCTTGACCGCTGGTCAGTCTCTCCAGCCCCCACCCCCTGATGCTTTTCCTTTATCCAAATGCTGTTAGTAGCTAGAACATTATCATACCCTAAATACCCCACTTTCATTCTAGCTTTTCTCTTGGTTTGTTTCTAGGGTCAACAAGAAATGTTGATTGAAGGCTAGGACCCAGGGAAACCTCCCTCTTTCCTCCCTTCCAGGAAAACATAATTAGATAACCCCATGAGAAGCTTATAGTGCTAGATCTCTCTCTCTCTCTCTCTCTCTCTCTCTCTCTCTCTCTCTCTTTCTCTCTCGTGTGTGCATTTCTGTCTGTCTGTCTCAGAAAGGATTTATTTTGGCGTATAGTTTAAGGGTCTAGTATATCATTGAAGAAAGAACACAGAGGTAAGAGGGCTATGAATACTGATGTCCAATTCATTTTCTCCTTTTTTTATTCAGACCTGGCCCCCAGCCCATGGGATGGCACTGACCACATTCAGGGTCTGTTAACCTCACCTAGATAAGACAGCTTTCTATTCCCAACTTTACTTTGGAAATGCATGTCATGTACATTGGCATCTACAGGTGGTCTATGTAATGGCACTTGTCAGAGATCCGACCTGACTCTTTTTCTTAGGTATATAGAGGGTTGTTTTGGTTTTTTTTCCAACTCACACAAATGCACTTCTTTTGCTCACGGTCCTCATTGCTTTGCTGTTCAGTAAGAACAGCTCTTTTGTTAACAATTGAAGTACAGCTGAGGTTTGAATCAGGTGGTTTTGTTTTTATTTCTCCAAGAAAAGCATGTGCTTCTGAATGACCAGTCAGAAGTCCCCACATCTCTGATTTTCTCAAGTGACAGAAGCAAGGCCAATCAGAAGAGTCATTTTCCTTGATGGAAGAAGGTGGGCGAGGGCTGCACAATGGGAACACTCTGGTTCTATAATAGGATACAAAAGTGACAGTGTCTGGCCCTGCCATTACCCAGAGCACCTACACAAGAGCAAATCTGGACTACAAAGACGTGGAGTGGAGGTGGTTACAAGAGTCTGGGGAAGAATTTTAACTCCCTCCTGCTGAACCCATTGGACATCCCTCTTCTGTGAGTCAGTACAGCCCCTCTAGTGTTTTAGACGTGTGGAGGGTTTCTCTCCCTGTTGCCTAGACACTTCTAGCATTGTGTTGCATAAGTACAAAATTCTTTACTGTATGTCTCTAAAATGCCATAGCTCAATGTATGTATGAAGACTAGAAAACAGTATCCAAAGAAAACATAGCTCAATGAATATAAAATACAGTCTCAATAGTAGCTACTCATTTACAATTATTATTACTGCCATGGGTAATTGTTACCATTTTTTAATGTATTAGGCTCAGTTTAATCTTTCCCACACCAGTAGACTTTCAAAGTTCAAGTTTTGTGCTTATGTAAATGCTGTTTCCCATACGTGTTACTGTAATCCTCTTTGTTAAATCATCCATTTAGAAGTTTAGTCATTAAAAGACTTTCTGCAAAAGTTTTATGACCTTTGACCCTTTTGTCTGCCACCTTTTGTTTTTTTT